CGCGAGAATGCCGCGCCGGACAAAAGTGAGCATTTTTGGCCTTCCTCGGCTTCCGTAGGTTGGAGTCACAATTCCTAAATCAGTGTTTCCGGGTTGCTTCGAGGGGGGCTGTCCTCAGCGGTGTTGAAAGTGGAACCAAACCCCGGAGGTATCAGTAAGTAGGGGACCTAGTCGAGTCTGAGTGTTTATCTTTAGTCCCCTCATTTGATTCCTTGAAGACCCTGGTGAAGCTTAGCAGGAGGGCCCAAGATTTCTGGATCCCCAGCCCAGTGACTCAGGGGCTCCTGTTCAGTTCCCTCTCCCAGGATTTCCATTCAGTTCAGCAAGCTCACCTTCCCGTCTTACAGATCAGGAAACCCAGTCTTACAGCACAGCCCCAAGGCGCTGTTTACTAGACCCCGGCCCCGGCCCTGCCCCCGGGTTCCTCTCGATTGGCACAGACCTCACCCCTCTCCATGTTCCTTTCCTTGGGTCCAAGGTCCCCTGCAGACATCGACCTCGGGCACATTCCCGTCAGTCACCCTCTACTGGTCTCCCTGACTGTCTACAGGCCTAAGCAGCATGGCCTTATTCCGGTCGGGCCTCCTGGTGCTGACGACGCCGCTGGCCTCCCTGGCCCCTCGCCTGGCCCCCATCCTGACCTCCGCGGCCCGGTTGGTGAATCACACCCTCTATGTACACCTGCAGCCGGGCATGAGCCTGGAGGGCCCGGCTCAGCCCCAGTCCAGCCCCGTGCAGGCCACGTTTGAGGTTCTCGATTTCATCACGCACTTATATGCTGGCGCCAACATGCACACGAACCTGGACATCAGGATCCTGCTGACCAATATCCGAACCAAGAACACCTTTCTCCCTCCCCCAGCCAGCTCAGTCCAGAACCTGGCCCACCCGCCGGAGGTGGTGCTGACTGACTTCCAGACGCTGGATGGAAGCCAGTACAACCCGGTCAAGCAACAGCTAGAGCGTTATGCCACCAGTTGCTACAGTTGTTGTCCGCAACTTTCTTCAGTGCTACTATACCCCGATTATGAGCATGGAGAGCCGCCCGTGGAGCCGCCCGTGGATCCCTTACCCTCCACCATTAGGCCATCCTACCCGGTGGCCAGATCTCCAAAGCAGCCCGTGCGTGGCTACGGTCGTGGGGCTCTGGGTGGCACGTTTGACCGCCTGCACAACGCCCACAAGGTGTTGCTCAGTGTCGCATGCATCCTGGCCCAGGAGCAGCTTGTGGTGGGAGTAGCGGACAAAGACCTGTTGAAGAGTGAGTGGGAGAGACACTGGGTTAGGGTGGTGGAGAGCCCCCAACACTCCTTGCCCTCAGCACTGCCAAGACTGAGAAGGGTGGGGCCATCCGTTTCTCCCCCCCTCCCGCCGCCCCCCAAATGTCACACACAGTGCCCAGCACTCAGTTGATGCTAAGGAAATCTTGTTAAATGAGTAAAAGCAGCTTTGTCAATGTGTGGTTTAGTCACCACTCAATCAGAATCCCCAAATGTGGAGCCAAGGAAGCTGCACTTTTAACAAGGTCTCCAGCTGAGGCACCCTGGAGTTTGAGACCCTGGGAATAAATGGGTGCGTAAGTTGTGGGTAGCGGTGGCAAAGACAGTAAGAGGGGACTCAGGCATGATACGGTTCTTGAAAGTCTCTGTCTGGCTCTGGTGCCCACTGGTACCCCCAGTTCTCCAGACACATGCCAGCCCCTGCAGGGACTACCGTGCTTCCCTGGCGCCTTCCCGTCCTAGCTTTCCCGTCACCGACCACTTCTCAGCTTAGTCCTTTCTTTCTGCCACCCGCCTCTGGAGATAGGGTGCTTAGGGACACTCTTCCCCAAACTGGCCCATACTCTTCCTCCCCAGTAAAAAGGTCTCACTGTTCTGGACTCCTTCCTCAGGCAAGTTGCTCCCCGAGCTGCTCCAGCCCTACGCAGAGCGTGTGGAACATCTGAGTGAGTTCCTGGTGGACATCAAGCCCTCCTTGACTTTTGATATCATACCCCTGCTGGACCCCTATGGGCCTGCTGGCTCTGACCCCTCCCTGGAGTTCCTGGTGGTCAGCGAGGAGACCTATCGTGGGGGGATGGCCGTCAACCGCTTCCGCCTTGAGAATGTAACCCCCGAGGGAGACTGGCAGAGGGAGGGGATGGGGAAGGCCATTGTGGGGGAGGCTGTTGGAAATGTACCATGACCCCAGAGGAGAGAAGCGAGGGCTCAAGGTGGTAGAAAGAGGCAAGGAGGAGCTTGTTCCCAGGTTGTCCTCTGAGGCCAGCTCTACCTCTGGGGTAAGTAGGGGAAGATAAAGGGGGCAATTTGGGTGTCAGTGTTTGCCCTTCTTCATCTCAGCCCTCCACACCCCTCCTCCTTTACTTCAGGGCCTGGAAGAGCTTGCCTTGTACCAGATCCAGCTACTTAAGGACCTAAGCCACAAGGAAAATGAGGAGGACAAAGTCAGCTCCTCCAGCTTCCGCCAGCGAATGCTGGGAAAACTGCTGCGGCCTCCACATGTAAGCGTGTCCTCCCTTCCTCCCCCCTGCTTGCGTGGGCTGGAGATGCTGGAAGGCAGAGACTGAAGGATTTAGCCTAAGCATGGGCCTGAGGACCCTGACAACTGGGGTTCCTCTTATGTACCCCCAGAAGAGGCCCGAGCTCCCCTCGGATCTCTATGTGATCGGGCTGACGGGCATCAGTGGCTCTGGGAAGAGCTCAGTGTCTCAGCGGCTGAAGGGCCTGGGGGCATTCATCATCGACAGTGACCAACTGGGCCATCGGGCCTATGCCCCGGGTGGTCCTGCCTACCAGCCCGTGTTGGAAACCTTTGGAACAGGTAATAACTGGACAGAGCTGAAGGAGGCCTGAAGTGGGGAGATGGCCCGGTCTCCTTGCCCAGTCCTCTGTCTCTGTCCTCTAGACATTCTCCTTAAAGATGGCACCATCAACAGGAAGATCCTGGGCAGCCGGGTTTTTGGGAACAAGGTAAATGCACACCTCTCCAAAGGTTCTCAGTTGCTGTAGATCCAGGGGTTGAGGCCCAATGGACCTCTCTGGGCTGGCTCCGTCTCCCAGGGGAGGTAACTGCTGCGCACTCCCTCTGTCTTGCTCCTCAGAAGCAGCTGAAGATGCTCACAGACATTATGTGGCCAATTATCGCAAAACTGGCCCGAGAGGAGATGGACCTGGCTGTGGCTGAGGGTGAGTGGGAGGGATGATGGGAGTGGCTGTGGGGTGCAGTTAAGCACATGCTTTTCCTAAGAGTTTCCCCACTCCAAGCCAGACCATCCCCTTTGCCAGGAACTGTGTTTCATTGGCTCTCTGACTGGTACCAAGTGACAGGGTACCGCTGGCAGTGACTGGGGCCTCCCTATAGGAAAGCGTGTATGCGTGATTGAAGCTGCCATGCTACTTGAAGCCGGCTGGCAGAACATGGTGCATGAGGTGTGGACCATTGTCATCCCTGAGACTGAGGTATTTGGAGCCCACGTGCCACCCGTCTCCACTGCAGACCGCGTCCTGCCCTAAGCCAGTGGTCCAACAAATGTCATGTCTGTGCCCAGGCTGTAAGACGAATTGTGCAGCGGGATGGCCTGAGTGAGGCCGCAGCTCAAAGCCGGCTGCAGAGCCAGATGAGTGGGCAGCAGCTTGTGGATCAGAGCCACGTGGTGCTGAGCACCTTATGGGAGCCACACATCACCCAGCACCAGGTTGGTGCCCAGGGAAAGGCTGGGTTGTGGGGATGGAGTCGCCAGTGGCTTCCTGTCTGACTCTCTCCTCCCTTCCTCCCAACATTCTGGCTTGCCCAAAGGTGGAGGAAGCCTGGGCCCTCCTGCAGAAGCGTATCCACTAGATGCCACCAGGCCGTGACTGATAATGAGTTTTCTGTGGGGCCAGATGGGCCCCTGGAGCTGAGGAGAGATCCAGTGGTGAGAAGGAATGGGGGCTTCATTGCTCACCCTAGAGCTTGAGCCTGGAGGGCTCTGAGCTGGGCAGGGCAGGGCAGTGCCTGGTGGACACAGGAAGCCTACCCATCTTGCTGGCGTTTGGCCATCACTGAGGATGTGGTCCATAGGGGATCAGGACCCTCTGGCATTCCAACCCCATTCTTGCCTACCCCTGCCTGTAATACTTGTGGCTGGGGTGGGGGCGGGAGGTCAGGAGAAGGCAATTACTGGAACTTTTAATACAATTAAAGGTGAATGATTGCAGGTGCTGCCTGTATGGTGTCTGCTTCCTGTTCTGATGTCTCTGGGTGTCTTTGGGACCCATGATCCACAAGTGCAGGGCTTAGGCTTGGCGGAAAGCTAGCAGTGCAGTGGTTAAGAGCATGGCCTTTGGACCTAGCCAGACTGAGGTCAGCCTTGGCCCTGTCACTGGCTGGCTGTGTGCATCTGGACAAGTTACACTATAGGTTCCTCGTTTCCTTATCTGTAAAGTAGCATAACTTGGCCAACGAGCTCTTTGATAGCGTTAATTCCACAAATATCCAGCCAGACGCTGGGCAGAGTGTTGGGAGGACCGTCCTTCAACAAGCCAGGCAGGCCTCTGCCATCACAGAGCCTGCAGCCTGGAGAAGTGGGACGAGGTGGTCAGGACTACAAGTCGGGGTCGCCTGGCGGGGGACGGCGTCCCCGGGAACCGGATGGGCCTAGCAATGCAGGTGTGCACAACTATCTGCGACATTACTAGAACAAGCCTTTTGGATGGACCCCATTTCACAGAATGTGCTTCATGCAGTCCATCCGAAAGAAGGGAGAGAACAACCTGTGCCAACTCAAAGAGCAGAGGCTACCCACTCTGCGGGAGCCGCTTCCCCGCGCTGCGCATGCGCACCGCCCGAGCCCCGCCCCTTGCCTTTGGTCGTGGATTCGTGGGTTTGGATCACATGGGCTCACCTCGCTCTTGACCCCGTGCGGCGATGCGCGCGCGCACCCGCTAGTTGATTTCCGGTGCGGTGGGTTGGAGATGACGGAATCCGGTGCCTCCCCGGAGGACCCCTGGGTCAAGGCAAGCCCCGTGGGCGAGCACGCCGGTGAGGGGAGGGCGGCTCGGGTGCGTGCACGTAGGGGCCCCAGAAGATGAGGGAAGTCTCTCTGGTTCCCGAAGTATCCCCACCTTCGCTCTCTGGGCCCAGGGGCTGCAGAGAAGACAGCTCACCCCCTGCGCGTTCCAAGGTGGGGAGATGACTGAGGCTTGTGTGCGCAAGTGTGAGGGTACGGGGTTTGCGACTGGGGAGGTGGAGGTGTGGGGCGGGCGGGATCATGCCGAGGGGCGGCGCTCCCACGAACTATCCAGTTTTAGCTCTGGGGTGAATCCTTTAATTGCCTGCATGTGTGTGTCCGTCCTTTAGTTGCCCGAGCACCCGCGTGTGTGCGTACGCGTGCACGCAGAGTGAAAGGTGGCGACTGCCTCCCGGATGGAGGTCTGATGAGCTTTTCTCCCTTACTCGGTGCCGCAGGTGGAGTATGCCTACAGCGACAACAGCCTGGACCCCGGTGAGTGCCTCCCCTACCGGCTTCAGCTCTGGAGTGGCTGACACTCCCACTTCAGCCCTGTAGGTTTGATTGGCGTGGTCGGCCACCCCTGACCACGGTCCGCTGTCCCTGAACCTGAAACAGTGAGGGGAGGAGCTGGAAGCACGGAAGGGTTAGCTGGAAGCACGGGAGGGTGGCTTCTAGTTTCCTCCGCCCTGGAGCAGGGAAGAGATGGAAACAGTGACGGCCCTCATCAAGCCCAGACGTTCCTTTGTGAGCCAAGGAGCATCATTGCAGGACAGGAGCACTGTAGGCACTAGGGACAGGAGCATCGCAGCATGGCGCCACAGGAAGTGGGTGGCCCAGTATGGCTGGCTTTTGAGTTTAAGTGGAGAGGTCAGCATTTAAGGATCAGGGAGCCATTGTGCCCACAGGTGTCTGAGGGGCTAGCAGTGTTCCCCCACCTTACCCCTTAGTGATCGGGGCCTCTCTTTTTCAGGGCTCGTTGTAGAAAGCACCCACAAGGGGAGCATAGTGTCCAGAGCTAATAGCATTGGTTCCACCAGTGCCTCTTCCGTCCCCAACACAGGTAGGCAGCAACATCCCCCAACCTGGTGGGGCTCAGATATGCCAGCATTTTAGTATCTTTCTTAGTCAGGAAGCTCCAGCTATCTACGTGAGGTGCTAGAGCCCTAGTGCTAGACACAGGGTCTCGCCATCTCTCACCTCGTCTAGAATATTAGGTTCCCGTCTGCCATCTGGGCACGGTTTTCCCAGGTGGGGGCAAGTGAACTGGCTGGGCCTCACTGGGCCCCAGGATGACCTCTTCCTGCCCCCAACTCTTGAGTGCAGATGACGAGGACAGTGATTACCACCAGGAGTCCTACAAGGAATCCTACAAGGACCGGCGGCGGCGAGCGCACACTCAGGCTGAACAGAAAAGGAGGGATGCCATCAAGGTGATTGGAGAGAACTCGGCCAGCTCAGGGAGGCCCTGGACACTTGAGATTCCTTGTGCCCTGACCCCATCAGACAGCCCCGAGCGGCCTGGGGACAGTGAGTCCCGTCCCTGGACATGAAGCGCCTCCCCGCTTCCGGCCCCTCGCCCCTTAGTTGTGAGCCTAGAATGTGGTGTTGTGGAAGAAAAGCTTTGTGCCGGTTTGCCTTTGATCCCTCCGCGTTAAGGGACCTGTTTCCTGCACTCTCTCCACAGAGGGGCTATGACGACCTTCAGACCATTGTCCCCACCTGCCAGCAGCAGGACTTCTCCATTGGCTCCCAAAAGCTCAGCAAAGCCATCGTTCTGCAGAAGAGTATGGCCAGGGAGCACGCCGGTGGGGTTGGAGCCGTGGGCTGGGAGAAGGCCAGCCTCACTCGAGGTCGGCCTGGCCCGGTGGGGTGCTTGTACGGGGAGAGCTGGGGGGTGGGGACAGAGGAAACAAGATCCGCCTTGTCCTCCGACTGAGATTTCCTCTGTGTCCACCCCCTTCCCACCCCCAGCTATTGACTACATCCAGTTCTTACACAAGGAGAAGAAAAAGCAGGAGGAGGAAGTGTCCACTCTACGCAAGGACGTCATGGCCCTAAAGATCATGAAAGTGTAAGGGGGTGCTGAACCATGGGGACCAGGCTCCTGAGGGGACCGAGGCTGACTCCAGCTCGAGGGCCCCATCAGATAATACTCCTGCTCCCTTGGGTGGTCACTTGGAGGCAGGACCCTGTACCCCAACAGGTCCAGACACAGCAGACGCTCTGGAAAGCCTGTTACGGTAATAAAATGAAGGTTGGAGGAGATAGGTCTCCATTTTTATCCCAGAAGCAGTATCTAGCTGAAGAATATAGCCCATAGGCTCTCTAGGAGTCCCCTTCCGGGTGGGGGTGGTGTGGAGGGGCACCCCGTTTCTCCTGGCCTGGTAGGGCTGCCGTAGCTAGTGCCTTAGCCCTGGTCTGCTTGCTTTCAGGAACTATGAGCAGATTGTGAAGGCACACCAGGATAACCCCCACAAGAGCGAGGACCAGGTCTCCGACCAGGTTAAGTTCAACGTGTTTCAAGGCATCATGGACTCCCTGTTCCAGTCCTTCAACGCCTCTGTCTCCATGGCCAGCTTTCAGGAGCTATCGGCCTGTGTCTTCAGCTGGATTGAGGAGCACTGTAAGCCTCAGGTATGGGGCAGCAGCGGTCCTGGGACCTGGGGTCTCCTCCCCGACCTCAGGCATCGTGACCCAAGGCACTTTCAGAAAAGTAGGTCGCAGGTTTTAGGTTTCTTCAGAGTGTGTCTACAGCTTTAAATACTCTTGTTTCCCCCTCTGCTTTCCAAAGTCCAGATCCTTCTATTACAGTTTGTCAGGTACGGTCTGAGCACTTAGCCCTGCGAGGTCACGTTCAGCCTTGGTTTAGCCCGTGCCGTGGCCACCTCCGTCATTCCTCGGCTGCCCCCGTCACTTGGAGCAGAATTACTTGGGGTTTTTGGATTTCTGGCCCCCAACCCTGGGTCTAGTAAGGTCGTTTTATTTGTGATAGTGTAGTTTGTTAATGGTATTAAACTGAGTCTTCTGCTTTTGAGGACTAGTCACTTTTTTTGAGGGTTGAACTTGTATCTGAGATTCCTGCTTTCTTTTTTATTTCTCAACATTTTTATTGTGAGACACTTTAAACATACTGGAACATCAAGAGAATGTACAATGAACATTCATATATCTATCACCTAAAGCACAGGTCTCCAACCTCTTTCCATGGATGGGGGGCGGTGCAGGGCAGAGCTCAGGCCGTGATGCAGGCCAAACGCCACGCATCTCCTGCTCTGCAGCCCGGTTCCTGACAGGCCACAGGCTGGTACCAGTCCACAGCCCAGGCGTTGGGGACCTGCTACCTAAATTCTACTGTTAACGTTCTCTGTGCTTGCTTTATCATATAGCTGTCCATCCCTCCATCCTGTTTGGGGGGGACTGAAAAGTGAACTGTGGACATCGGTGCTCCCCGGGGGCTGCTTTCACTAGAGAGCTCACCTAATGGAGGCAGGCGTCACAGACAGCTCTGCGCCCCAGCTGAGCGGCATCTCTTACTCTCCTCCCAACAGACCCTACGGGAGATCGTGATCGGTGTGCTGCACCAGCTGAAGAACCAGCTTTACTGACCTGCACAATAGCCAGCGAGAGGCCCGTCTCCTACTTGGTCCCAGAGCCACTGGGGTTATGAGGTTGGACCGCGACACCTGCCGCCAGTCAGCGGGCTTCCCCCTGGCGTCCGGCTCCCTGGCCCGCCTCGTCCACGGTGGGGCTGGGGTGTTTGTTTTGTGAACGCTTCTGATTAATTTATTGTACTGACCGTAGAGCTCGAACCTGCCCAGTCTTCGCCCACCCCTCCCCACAGAAGTCCTCAGAACGGGGGTCTGCTCTGGGCACCCCCCTTCTCCTAAGCCTCAGGTTTCAAATTTCGCCACATGATCTACTCATATTTAGAAACTACTGTTGGCCTGTTTGGTCTCTTGGGCGGTAAGTGGCCCAAGCCACTTGGGCCGTAGATGGACAGGAGAAAAGGATGAGGAGGAACTACTTCCACAGCTGCAAAGGGTGAAAGGCCACTCGTGCCTAAGCCAGAGCTGCCTGGTCCGCCCGAGGTAAAGCCACAGCTTTCTGGGCTGGGCAGGGCTGCCAGGTTCCCGCTCCTGCCTCCTGCTCTCTCTCCTCCCCCTCTGCTCTGGGCAGTCGAGAAGCAACCTCCCCACCCGCTCCTCCTCTGTCCCCACAGGCAGCGGCACTGCACAGCAAAGTCCTGTGTGACGCAGCGCCACATGTTCAAGTTTTTATTTTTCTAAATACCAACAACACAATTTTGCTAATGTTAGAAAAATTTTAGAAAATTAGCCAGGCCTCAAAACCTCTCCCAGCTTTAGTCAGGCGCACCCGGGTCTCCACTGTCTCGGGGCTGCCTGCACTCCTCCCAAGGCTTGGGGGTGGGTGGAGGCCTGCTGGGGGGTCAGAACCAAGGGAGTCCGAGGGGCAGCCCTGTGCCCCCTGGCTGCTGTGCACGATAGCCTCTCTACCCTCGTCCCCCTAGCTCCCCCTTTTGCCTTCCTCAGATTTGATATCTGAGGTTTGATTATCCAGAGGAAATTAAATATTTTTATATCAAATTATATTACAATAAATATTGCCAAATGCTTTCCTTCAGCTTTGTTCCAAATCTAAGAGGTAAGGCTCCTGCAGCTGAAATGCAGACGACGTAGTGAGCATAACCACCCACTCTGGGCAACTAGCACTCCCCACCTGCTCTGCCTAACACTGGTCTGTGCCCCTCCCACCTGCTCCGCTCAAAGGTGGAAAGCAGCGGCACTAACAACAAAAACTGGCCTAAACAGGGCAGCCAGTCCGGGACATCTCTGTCCCAGCCCCCCAGTCCTGCCGCAGGGGCTCTCAGGGGTCTGGGAGCTTGACGTTGTAGTCCTCATCTGTCTCTATCCCAACTTCCTCCTGCGGGGCAATGAGACAAGTGAGGGAGACCCGGACACACAGCCCAGGGGAGCAAGGAAAGGGGCGAGATCCACTTACAAAGAACTGCTTCTTGCTCTTCGGATACCCTTCAAGGATTGCGTCGCACAGCTCTGACGCCTGAGAAGAAACAAACCCACCCTCTGCAGACCGGCAGGACGGGGCCCTGCCCGACGGCCCCGTGACTCCGCAGCAGCTTCTCTGGGGCTGCCGTCTCCAGGGCCTGCCTCGGAGTTCCTGCACTTACCATCCTCTTGCGCTTCCTCCACTCCTTGCAGTACTTCTGCCTCTCCCTGTACACCTGGCCGGGGAAACGGGTTCCTTTAAGCCCTTAGCCCCGTGGCAGTCGGCAGTTGCTGGAGTCAACCCTTGTCCTCACTGCTCTGCACGAGAGAGAGGCTGGCCCTCCTAACCCACCTGCTCTTTCTCTTCCGGGGTCACATGGTTGGTGGCTGCTTTGATGTTCTTCAGTCTCTCGGTGTAGCCAGCACATTCCTTCTGCAGCTCCTGGATCTCTCTCTGCATCTCCGGTGTCGTCAGGGCGCTAGTTAACTCCTTCAGCTCTGAAACCACATCTCCCTGGGGTCAGCTGCTACCCCGCAAAGGTGTTCTTTTTCCCCGTGCGCACTCCCTGAGGTGGGGAAACAGGCCTCTGCTCGCTCTGGATTCTGCACGTAGGGTCCAGAATGGGCCCCTTCTTCAGAAATGCCCAGGAGAGATGAACACTTACACAATGGCCAGTTTATTGGGTTGGCCAAAGAGTTCCTTTAGTTTTTTCTGTACAGTGGCTCTAGTAGTGCTTAGTTGTCTTTAACTTTATTGGAAACAATTTTGTTAGATTGTACTGTGACAATCATATCAGCATGCAATTTTTTTAAAAAGTTACCAAAACAGAATTTTTGTGCAGCCATTTTAACGCTGAAGACGAAGAAAATACACCATATGTTCAGCATATTATGCTTTTTTATTTCAAGAAGGGTAAAAACACCTCTGAACGGCAAGAAAAGATTTGTGCGGTGTGTGGAGAACATGCTCTGACTGATCAAAAGTTGTTTGCGAAGTTTCTTGGATCTACTGACATTTTGGCCAAATAATTCTTTGCTGCAGGGTTGTCTTATGCATTGGAAGATGTTTAGCAGCACCCGTGGCCTCTACCCACCAGAAGCCAACAGCGGGAGATAGCTGACATAAAGTTATTCATGAAAATGAAAAAAAGTGTCTTTTTTACAGATAAAACTAAACTGACTTTTTGGCCAAGCCAATAGTTTCCTTTCCCCCTCCACCTACAAGTAGTGGTCTGGTGTGAGGCTCAACAGACTGTTAGCCATAGCCAGTTAAAAGAGCTCGGAGTAAAGGAAGTGTGGGAAGATTATACTGATAATCATGGTAAAGAAAGCAAGTACTTGTCTTGCCCATTTGTATTTCAAAAGCCACTGGCCATCATACACTTCTTTTAACGTAATGCCATGGCAGCCCAGCAAAGGGATCTTCACCGCAATGGGACAACCGTTCCCTCAGTAACTCCTGACCTCTGGACTGACCCGGGGGCTAGGGGCACCCGCCCGAACAGCCCGCTCCTACCGGCCTCCATGTGGCGGCAGCTCTGCTGCAAGCTCTGCACCGTGGCCGTAAGGGCCACAATTTTGGCATCCAGGCTTTGGAGGTCAGCGTCACTCACCATGTCAAACTGGTCCTGCCAAAGAGGAAAGAGAAGAGGGCTGATGTCTGGCACAGGATGGGAACCCGTGTCTAGAAAGGCAACGTGCGCATTACTTAAGAACCTGGGACTCCCCAACCTTCCAAAGGGCCTGGAGAAATAGTGGGAGTGTAGTTTTGAGAAGTCAGTTTAGTTCTGGGTCCAACAAAAATGTATCAAAGTTGAAACTTCATGCCTGTCCTCAAGGGGTTCTAGGTTGGCAGGATACTGACTAGGACGAATATGTCAGTTTAGTGGTTAAACCTCTCCCTGGGCTGAATGAGTACAGGAACATTCTTTCCAAAGTGGTGATACCTAAATTATTGGCTTCCACACTAGGAAGACTCCGGGTAGGCAAAGAGGCATGAGGGGAGGACTCGGTACAAGTCTGCGGAGCCCCTCCCATGGGAAACCAGTCGCTAGGACAGGACCAGAACAGGACTGGACCGTGGTGGGGCTCAGCAGAGGTCCCCTCAGTTGGTGAGGGGGGCAGGTGAGAAAGGGCACGAGTGCCATCCTGGGCGGTCTGAACTCTACACTAAGGCCAGGTAAACCTTTACAGCAAGTGGTAGCAAACTACAGGCCGTAAGCCAAATCCTGTCGGACAGATGTTTTAAAAAATATATAGAAACAGCCACACCCATTCGCTGCATATTATCTATAGCTGCTTTTGCTCTGCAGGGGTGGGCTTGAGCAGTCGTCACACTTGTGTAGCTGTGGCAGGAGACCAACCGACCTGCAGAGCGTGACAATAGTAACAGTCTGGTCCTTTACAGAAACAAACCTGCCGACTCCTTCAGGAGACCTTTCCACAGGGCAGTAACGTAATGAAACCTCCTTTAGGAAGATTAGCCTGGACAGTGGCTGGGTTCGGTTAAATGAGTATTTGACGTCTGCTGGGCATTAAATGCCGTGGGGGTGCTAAAGGAAGATGAATGAGAAATGGGGACTAGACGTCCCAGGACAGTGCCATCAGGGAGACGAGTAAAAAGACAACAGTGATACAGGGCGCCTCTAGAGGTGAGCGCCGGAAGAGGCGGTGAGCTGAGCGTGGCTGGCACTCACAGGTCTCTCTGCAGGAGGTGCTGCCTGGCTGCAGTTCTAAGACCTGAGTGAGTTTCCAGGGGCACAGAGGCAGAAGAGGAAGGAGGGACTGAAAAACTCTGGGCAGTGGAAGGACAATGAGCAAAGGATACAGGAGTAGAACACACAGAAATGGTCCAGTGTTAATGGGTGGAGAAACAACTGGGACAGGTAAGGTCAGAGGCAGGCTGGGGCCAAGTCTCCGGGTGCCTCCTTTCACCTGTTCCGGAGAGCGCCAGGGTTTTAAGGAGGGAAATGGCGTGACTAGGTTTGCATGAACACAGGTGGCTCTGGCAGCGATGTGGGAGGAGGCAGGAGATGTTAGGGTGCTGCAGCAGACGAGGAGCACCTGGACTGGCGCGGTGATGGCAGGTGGGAAGGAGAGGACGTGATGGCCGGCCTGCCTGCCATGTGAGATGGGTTAGGAATGGCTTCCTAGTCTCTGACTCGGCAAAGAGTGATCCCATTAAGAAAGAGGAACGTGAGAGGAGCCAGTGTGAGAGGCGAGGCATTCTGCTTCAGTCACAGTGATCTGAAAGACACCCATATGGAGGCCTGGGCTGGAGATACGAAATTACTGTGTGTTCGCGGATGGGGGTGGGGACAAGGAAAATCATCTGGCGGGAGGTGGTTCTAATCTAGAAGATTGGGAACAAGCACTTCCCAGTGGAAATGGGTCTCGGGGGCAACAATTCAGGATTTTCTGTTATCTATTATATTCCAAGTCTGGAAATCTCAGGAAGTGTGGGTCACGGCAAGGGAGCACACGCCGATTTAAAGAATGGCTGGGGCCCTTTTCATGGCGTCAGACAGCTGGGTTTCATGGACTGCCTCAGTTCTCCCGAAGAGAGTTCACACTAGGGGCCGGTCCACCTCATACTGGGCCCTCACGCGGGTGAGAATCCGCGCAGGCTTCCCTCACCTGGTCCGCAAAATATATCTTCTGCTTGCCGTACATCTTTTCTTTGATCTTGCCTTGCTGAGCCAGCTGATCCAGCGCCTTCACCACCGCCTGGCAGAGGGGAGGGGGCGGAGCAATCAGAGTGACTCGGGGCCGGGCAGCCTGTGACAGGGGGCGGCGCGCGACAGCCCAGGGAAGCCCAAGGCTAGAACGGCAGCCGCGAGAGGGCAGGACCCCAGGCTGATTCGAGGGGCCCCAAGGCGGGGAGTCCCGCAAGAGGGTCCTCACCGCTTTGCCCAGTCCGTGTTCCCGCTGCAGGTTCCCGAACACATCCTGGGCGCTGTAGGGCCGGTTCTGCTCCCGCAGGTACTTCAGGAGGATCCCGGGGGCTACGGAAGAGATGAGCCAGGCGAGGCGGGGGCCACTCAGCCGAGGCCCCCACCCGGCTCCCCGCCGGGCCTCCCCGGCTCCCCAGGCCCGCTTACCTCCACTCGCAGCCTCAGCCCGGCCTTTACTCATGGCCTTTCCCGCCACCAAACTCCGAAAGCCGGACGTTACAGTTGCTCGGGCAACGGCTCCTTCCGGCGCCGGGAGGGGCGGGCCCCGCGCGGGGGCGGGCGGAAGGGGAAGCCTTCCGGAGGAACGAAGCGCCCCTTCCGGGGCACCGTGGTGGGTTTTTCTTCAGAACTTGGGGGCCGCTCCGACCCCCGGCCTCCCGAGTCTCTGCGGAGGCGGCGGGGCGCCCGCCCCTCCGCCCCGTGGGGACGAGAGCCGTGGTAGGTGACGCCTCGGCTTCCAGCCCCAGCCCGACGGGGCCCACGCGCCCGAGACGCTGAGCGGGGCTGAGCCTCCCACGGGATCCGCCAGGGGCAGCTCCCGCCGAGCCCGCGGCGGCTTAGGGTCCCAAGGCCGTCACGCACGGGGACGTGGCCTGCCCCACGGCCCGAGGCTCCTCGCCAGCCAGCCTTACCGTTTGTCGAGTAGGGACCAGAGGTACTCGCGGGAGGGTGGTCGCGAAGACTCACCGCGTAAAACGCCGCGCAGAGCTGGGCACCCTTGTCGGCTCGTTACCGAGCTCCGCACACAGAGGGCGCTCAACTCACACTGAGGTTCGAGCGCCAAGGGCAGGTAGGCTTGGGAGGGAGCAGGTCAAGCCACAAAGCTTTAGAAGAGTTTCCGTTTGGTGGGGTCAATCTTTTGGCAACACCTGGCAGGTGCTTTCCACTCCTGCCCACAGTGGCCAATGGGACAAAGCCTAAAATAAGTATTTCTAGTTTCTGAGGTCAGCCGAAGGCCAAAGAGCAGCTGTCCCTGCAGCCCAAACAATGCAGAGGAAGGGTGGTGTTACTTTTTAAAGACCTCTGTTACCTGAAATTGCATTAGCCTTTGAACTGTACTTGTCTTCACACGTTTCGGGGGCAACATCAAGAATCAGAAGTGATGGGACGGCAGGCTAGATGCCATGCCCAGGTCTGGGCTCTGCGGGGGAGGGACGGTGGCCGCGAACCACGGTGGTGGTTCTGACCATCACAAGGAAAAGCAGGCACTGGCAAGCGGGTCCCTCCCCCCTCGGCTTCCTCTCCTGAGGCTCTCACCTCCTCAAATTAATCACACATCAGACGAACGAGAGAAAACCTACCAAGGGGAGGACACCATTCAACATTAGTCTCTTCAAGATGGTTCTCATACAAGATTTATTCCCCAGCACCCCTCCCACCCCATCCCCGCCCCAGTTCACAGTGGAGGACTAAGGAGATTCAGAGCAGGATCCCCCATGTACAAGAAAACACCGTCCAAAGAGTTTGCTCTCCTTCCTTCCTTCCCTCCCTCTCGCTCACTCCCAAGGCCTGAAGCTACACACACTCATGCACACTCGAAATCCCACTCCTTTCCCACACCTCCCACCTTTTCCCTGTAAGACATCTGGCTCTACTGAGAGGTAAGGTGTCCACAGTCTGTCTGAGAACCCAGACGTGGGGAGATGCTGTCACCCCAGTCTTCACACAACAAAGGTGCCTGTGGAACAGGCATGTCGCTCTTCTCCCTTCCCACTGTTAACTGTTTTCACTTCCTGGCCTCTACCTCATCCATCAACCAAGAGCAAACATGTTCGCACACTCCCACCTGTAGCATATGAAAATGGGCTCTGTCCAGCATCCCTCACCCAAGTGTGGGGCGTTGGGGGAGTGGTCCCTGAGGATCCGCAAAGGGTTAACGCAGAGAGAGGGAGGCGAGTTTGGCTTCAGCTCTGATCTGGGAGTCAGAGACAGGATGTAAGCTGGCACACGTAGAATTACCAATTGTCTCATGATTTTACTAGGGGCAGTCTAACAGATGCCCCTTAGAGGGGTCTCTGCTCATTACAGACATATTCTTGCTAAATGGGCTCATCCTTAAAAGAGGCCCTACCAAGTTGGGAAGCAATGAAATAGAAAAAGTACTAAAGGAGCTGAACAGGGAGTAAGAATAGCTGGTGCAAGAAGAGCTGGTGGCTCCTGGGATGAACGCCACTGAGCCATCTGTAAAGTGCTACTCTGGCATCCCCCAGGGAACGTTCCTTCTCCAGAGGAGGAGCAGGGGAAGGAACAGGAACACGGGTATGGTATGGTATTGCTTTGCTAGCTGCTCAGGCTAATAGTCAAACGGAGCCAGGGGTTAGCAGCACCAAAGACAACCAGGCAGCTCCCGAAGATTCAGTGAGACCACGAGCTACGGAGGCACTCACCTGCCCAGCCAGCTGACCCCACAGCCCTAGATGACCTGGAAGAGGCCCACCCCTCAGCATGTTCACATTTCTTAGATTTCACAAGCAATGATTTGGAGCACTGGAGTGAGGCCTCGAGAAACGAGGATGGGCTGGAGCAGAGGGAACAGGCCTGCTCTGCAGAACCAAACGATAAATTGCTTAGAAAAAGACAAATCAAATCATGGCTTAGCAAAAGAGGAGGATGACAATGCAACTGTTCCAGCTGCTGCCTGACTCGCACCTCCAGGGAGGTGATGGAGGAGGAAGGAGACGAAGGGCTCTTCTATCACTGAGGGCCCCCAAGCACCCATACCCAGAAGCAAACAGCAGCACCCCCTCAAAGGGGAACCCACGCCCTTGACTACTGTGTTCCCCACGAGTACCATCCTGATGGAGAGGAGCCTCCCCAAGGAAGCCCGCTCTCACTCGCTGGCTGAGCTCAGAAGCGGGCGCCCGGCTGGTGGCAGGGAAGGGAGCGTCCTCGTCAGCAGCCCTCTGAGCGCCAGCCGGGCCACCAGGCACACACACATGTTCAGGGGACAGGACCTGGGTTCTTCCCTTGCCCCTTCACCTTTAGTGGGATGAGGAGAATAAAAACCTAAACCACAGTGACCCCCAAAAGGAGTCTCTGCCTCAGTGGCTCCTGGAACCAGCAGGGTCCAGCTGATTCAGCTCTGACTGATCCAGAAGTTCAAAGTCATCCCCCTCAGCATCAGTGTCCAGGTCTGAGCTGGGGGCCCGGAGGACGCCTCTGGTTGCCCTCCGGGGAGGCGGGCCAGAAGGGCCTGGCTGGGAGGCCCCCGACAGGGCGAGCTGGATCATGCCCTGGGAGACCAGGCCGGCAAGGTTGCTGGTGAGGCTGGATCCGGCAGGCAGGGCTTCCAGCAGGAGCCCCGGCAGTGCAGCTTCGCCCCGGCTGGCGGGGGGCACCTGGGGCTCCTCGGGCCCTGCCGGGGAACGGTACATCAAGCTGGGCATTCCGATGCTGGTGTCATCCTCATCATCCAGGCCAGCGGGATCCACGTTAATGGAAGGGAAGTCTGGAAGGTCTCTGGCAAAGGACTCCTCTGGGTCACTGTGACCATCTAAGTCTGAAAGAACAGAAGGGTGTCTGAGACGCGGCAGCTGCCTGGCTCCGCCCCACAAGCCAGTCCCATATAACCAGATTTCTCCTCCCTGGAGATCAAGGGGCGGGGGTGGGAGGGGCAAAACCTGTGGCACTGGTCAGCTTTTCCCCTCCACTTCTAGACTGCCGTGACCTCTACCGGCCAGAGAACTTCCTCTCTCTTCCCCCACTATGCCCCCACTGAACCTACAGCCTGAGGCGACTAGGGAACTGAGGCTCAAGGAGAACAGCAGTGCCATCCTGGCTGTAGACACACCCCTAAGGCTGCTCTGCCACCCAATCCACTGCTCGGGAAGCAGGAGAGGAGAGGGCAGTATCCCCTATGTCGGGGGAAGCTGAAAGGCAACAGTCAAAGCCATTATCAACTCAGACCCAAGGTCCACCTCACCTTCAGAGCCTTCTGTTAGAGGCGTCTGGCCCCGTGAAAGGTTGAACGTGCCATTGTCCGTACAGGAAACCTCGGCATCTGAGTGCTCAGAGTCTGTGATGGCCAGTTCCCTGGCGACAGTAGAATCATCCAGCTTCGGAAAGAAAAGATCGGCAAGCATGAAGCGAGGATACCGCTGAGAACAGATGCAGTTCCCCAGTAACAGCTTTACCGGTCAGCTGGCCCTGAAGGCTACCCGCAGCCACGAGTGTAACCAGGAAAGCGTGGGGACGTGTCAAAATCTTGCCCGTTTTTAGTCTGCTCCCCCAAGGAAAACACTCTTATCCACCGATCTCGAGTACGTGAAGGGAAGCAGTCTCGGGAGTCGGTCAGCTACTTACTCTTAAGCAAACTTATCCAGAGGATACTTTTCACAGGTGGCCTGGAGGACACACACACTGCCCAACCAAAGGTGAGCAGGGCTCTTTAAAAGATGATCACACCAGTTCCAGAAGTTCTGCCGCGATGGGAGGAGTTAAAGGGAGACATGGAAGAGGGTGTGCTGGTCACCAGGCTCAAATTGAGGTCTACATACAAAGTCCCAACATAACTCTAGCTTTCCTCCTCACGGAGTGCCGGTTACGCTCACGCCTGGGCTCTCACGGGGCAAGGGGAGGGGTCTCTGGACCACGAGCTCTCGGCCTAACTGTGGGTGCTGGATGTTCAAAGGGAGCTAAAGAAAACGAGCCAGTGGTGCAGCTCCCACAGCCAAGGTACCTGAGGACAGAAGGCAGCAAGCTCCTCCTCGCTGTCACTGTGGTCGTCCACGGCTCGTTCTGGGTGCAGAGCTCTGCGGCGCACTACGTAGAGAGAGCAGGAGGCCGTGACGCCTTCCCTTGAGGGGAACCCCCACCCGCTTTGGACTTTGAAGACAGAAAGTGAGAACAGAAGAGAACCAACCCCTCTGAATGTGGGCCTAAGGCTGAGGGCGGGCTGCCGAGCCTAGGTATAGAAAGGTGCGTTGGTAACCCAGAAGAGAAAGAGCTCTCTCCCAAGAGCTCCCCTTCTCTAGGCCACCCCACAACCCTCTTTGCTCTGGACAGATCAACTACCAGACCTGTGAGCAGTTCTCAGGATCACTGAGGGGCAGACTGGACTTCGAGGTGGAGGGTAGACGCTATCACTGAGGCCAAAGGGAGAGGCCCTACCCCAGTTAAGTCAGGCTTTTGAGGGCTGATACTTAATTCGACTGGCCGCCCCAGGGCAAGCGGGGCCTCGGTGGCCATGCAGAGCTCTCTGAAGGCCAGGGCCTAAGGAAACACCCACCCTGGTCAGACCACGGGAGAGGAAAGGCTCTCGCAGCTGTCGTCATCACGCGGGAGGACTGCAGGCTAGTACACTTCTGGCTTCCGAGC